GATGACTGATGGGATGGGAGGAGGGGAGAGTATGGAAGCTGTTAATGTTTAGAAGGGGAATCCCCATTAGGACTTTAGGTAGCACGTTCTTTTCCGGGGTTACTTCCCTTCTTCTTTTAATGCTACTAGGACCAGCTGACCGTGGTGAAGCAACAGCCGACCATGGTGCAGCAACAGCTGACTTTGCTGCAGCAGCAGCTGACCATGGTGCAGCAGCAGCTGACCGTGGTTCAGCAACAGATGACTCTGGTGCAGCAGCAGCTGACCATGGTGCAGCAACAACTGGTGGTGGTGCAGTAGCAGCTGACTGTGGTGCAGCAACAGCTGACGGTGGTGCAGCAACAGCTGACCGTGGTGCAGCAGCAGCTGACCGTGGTACGACAGTACGTATTTCCCACCCTTTTTACATATGATCGCTTGAGAGATGGTATCTCCTATCTGTTTTTCGTTCATCCACACCAATAACAGTCTCTCAACATCTATCACTTGCGATCTCTGTTTCAAAAACAAAGTTGCACCTTTGGCAAGAACAGCTTCCTTGATTGGCATTTTGTTGGCCACAATAGTAGGGATGGTTGATTAGGGTTTGGTATACAACCTGGCCAGCTCTGAGACACGCACTCCACTTTCGTACTTAGCAATTATCTCTTTCTTCATTTCCATAGTAATTTTCACCTTTTTTACTGCACGGTTGGCACTAGAAGCTTTCTTGGGGCCCATGGTGACTTATTTTGCAGGTACAATCACTAAAAACGCTGTGATAATAAGAAATGTACCGATTGTATGCGTGAATGTGACTGCACTGGCTGGCTTGTAAACACTGGCACCCACGGGGCAGCCGAGCTGCGCTCAGGCCACACGTGAAACGAGGCAAAATTTTTGCATTATCGTATGGCGGATTTAACATAACGCAATGCCATCATAAGGTGCGGGTCCACTGTATATACAAAGTATGTACAGTGGTACCTCAGGATACGAACTTAATTCGTTCCAGAAGGCTGTTCGAGTGCCGATACCAAACGAATTTGTTCCCGTGAGGAATAATGTAAATTTGATTAATCCGTTTCAGACCCCCAAAAATACACTTACAAATTTGTTTGAGTTTTGAGAGGTTCGTATCCCAAGGTACCACTGTATTTATAGGTCAAAGCAATGTTATAGACATGCTGAAGTATATATGAAACTCCTTGAAACATGATGTAAGACTGTCACTAAACTCCTGACAGTGCAGCAGTGGTTTGACACTTGATGATCGTGCATTACTGCAGGGAACCCCTGGCTTTGTTTGTTTTCACTGTTACACATAAACATGTCTGTCTGTCTAGCTCTGGCACTGAAAACCGCCAGCATGGCTTTTGTACAAGAGGGGGTAGATAGAGTAAGAATGAATAAAGAATGTTATTCTCCCCAAGAGAAGAGCAGGAGGGAGAGTGCCCACTGCAGTTCGTGGGAACTGAAAGGAAGCACCAGCACCTGGCAGTGAACCTCAGGTACTATAGGGAGCAGAGGACCCCATCTGATGACCTCAGAAGGCAGAGGAGGAGGAGCATGTGTAGGCCCAAAGAAATTAGCTAACAATTCAGCTTTATCCTGAGGCAAAAGTGGCATTGCACCATTCTCCAACAGGAAAAGACCTTAATGATCGTGATCCCAACACAGAGTGAAAGAAACCCCATGCCTGACTAGCAGAGGTGAGAAAGGAAAGAGAAGAACAGAAAGAAGCCCATGAAGCACGTCTTGTGTGGAGGAGGGTGCTGACATAAAGCATCAGCCCTTCGGTAGGCCAACTGCAGAGCCCTGGAATATCGGCACCACCACTGTGCCCATGTCTTTCGACGTGCCTTCGCTGCCTGGAAGCACTTATTAGTTCACCATGGAACCCAGGGGTGTGAACAGAAGCTTCCGGAAAGGTGGAATGAATGGGAGCCTGCCCGAAGCAAGCTATAATCAGTGACTATAGCTTGTCCAACCAGACTGAGTAGTTTTCCACTGTGGATGAATCACAGTTATGGCACTGCTGGAGCTCCGTTGGTAGATACAGTGACTGTATCTACCAACAGAAACAATGGCTGATGTAAAACACCCACACCCAAGAATGTGGTCGAAGTAGCTCACCCTGTGTAAGGATCCACTCTAGTCTCCAAGCCTGGCGATGTGAGCTAGGAAAGGCGAGATGCTAGGAGGGTTTGGAACAAGGCCCTACCTGTGGGATTCACCGATCCCAGAGAAAGGGATGGCTCCCAGAAATGGTGCCTAGCATTGAAGTCCCCTACAACAAGTGCTGGACTGCTGAGTTGCCGAAAGTAATGGGTAAACTCACTCTGTGTTACTGACTTGCCCAGACTGTAAATCAGGAGAAAGGTACACCACTGGGAGCCCAAAGCAACTTGCATGGCTAGAGTTTCTAATACACCACTCTGATAGACCTGGACGGAGAGGGTCATGCTCTCAAGCCTGTGACACACAAGAAGAGCTAGGTCACCATCACCACCTCATTCAAGGCAATCCTGATAGTAAACATTAAAAAAGACAGCTGAACAGAATGGCAAAGACATAACCATGCCTTGGAGAGGCCCACCACAAGTGACTCTACCTCAGCTAGAAACTCCCGGAGATCAGAAGCTTTCCCAATATGGAACAGACATTTCAGAGAAGAAGAATAGATCAGCAGGAATGAGTCAAGTGTGTGAACTAAGAAGCCCAATAAGGTGAGGAAGAACCGAGAGACATGCACTCACAAAATAGGTACCCTGTAAGAAGTGAATCGCTTCCTCCACCAAAAGGAGGACAGGACAAAGAAATGAAGCCCAGGCAGGCAAGAATGAAACAGCTAAACCTTCAGTAGGGAAGGGTCCTGAAACAGGGACATACTGGGGTTGGGGATGAGAAGAAATGAAGGAAGGTGGGTGTACTTCTGTGAGGAGTGAGGCTCTGGGTCAGGCAAAAGGTCTACTTGGACTGAGTGGGATACTGAACTTCGAGTAGGTTTTGGAGCCACACCACCTTGATAGGAAGACACGTGTCATGAATGAGGAGGAGCATAAGCAATAACTTCTGCAGCAGAAGCTGGGTCTGAAGACACTTTGAGATGTTGCTGCTCCAGAGGTGGGAAATCCTTGGAAGGAAGAGTTCTGCAAGTCGCAGAACAATTTGATACCGGGATATTAGCCCTCACAGCTGTGGAGAATAGGTGCCCTGGCTGCACCAGTGCTGGGGATATGCCAACAGAGGGGGTGCTGGAGACAAATGAGCTGGAGTTACATTCATCGAGTGAAAGGGACTGGGTCCTGGCTGAGTTTGCGAAATCAAGAGCCTGGAGATACACCGGGCAAGACTGGGACGTGACCTTGTGGGTCCCTTTACAAAAATAGCATAAGGTCGGGTGGGAACAGGCAATGCCATCTTTGACTGCTGGATGAAACCCACTACAGTTAGCACATCTGACCTTACTACAGCAAGACAGCTCACCAGGCTCAAAAAAGCAAACATTTCTGACACTGAAGTAGAGGAGAAGTGTAAGGAAGGACAGGAAACCTAAGAATGCCAAAAGTCACAAATTCTGAAAGAGCACCTGAGAAACATACATGAACTATACAAGATGGGGCGGGATGAATCGAGAGGCTCCAAACCTCACTCAAACCTAGGTCGTCCCCCTGCTCAAAACCAACTCAGAATGGCTCTCATCTGTAAGGGATGAGGAAATTGGTCTGATTCTGCCATAACAACAACTGGAAGCAAGGATTGAGCAGACCTCCCAGCAGACAACACTCCACCTACCTAGGACATGAAAGGCATTAAGTGGCAAATTTCTGGCTAGTGGATTACCACCCCCTGGTCCACTGATGAACCATATGTTAATAATTTAGTGGATTACCATCTTCTGGTCCACTGACAAACCATGAGTTAATGATTCAGTGGCTCACTACATGGTTCATGAGTGGACCCAAGTCTTCTCAAACCATGCCTCAAACTGCAAAGTAAATATTAGATTAATAAGAACTACTAGAAATACATATTAAAGTAATGGTAAGTGTAGAGTGAATACAAGTACAGCATAAACTTGCAAGATTTACTTGTATGTAATGTTGAGGAAAAAGAAGCATAAGTTCAGCAATTCTGCCTGAGTGCAGGATTGCTGAAATTATGTTATTTATATTATAGGATGGTAGTATGTTACTTATATTATAGGATGGTAGTATGTTACTTATATTATAGGATGGTAGTATGTTACTTATATATGGATGGTAGTATGTTTATTTTATATTATACGATGGTAGTATGTTACCTTATATATAGGATGGTAGTATGTTACTTATATTATACAATGGTAGTATGTTACTTATATTATAGGATGGTAGTATGTTACTTAAATTATAGGATGGTAGTATGTTACTTATATTATAGGATGGTAGTATGTTACTTATATTATAGGATGGTAGTATGTTACTTATATTATAGGATGGTAGTATGTTACTTATATTATAGGATGGTAGTATGTTACTTATATTATAGGATGGTAGTATGTTACTTATATTATAGGATGGTAGTATGTTACTTATATTATAGGATGGTAGTATGTTACTTATATTATAGGATGGTAGTATGTTACTTATATTATAGGATGGTAGTATGTTACTTATATTATACAATGGTAGTATGTTACTTATATTATAGGATGGTAGTATGTTACTTATATTATAGGATGGTAGTATGTTACTTATATTATAGGATGGTAGTATGTTACTTATATTATAGGATGGTAGTATGTTACTTATATTATAGGATGGTAGTATGTTACTTATATTATAGGATGGTAGTATGTTACTTATATTATAGGATGGTAGTATGTTACTTATATTATAGGATGGTAGCAATCCTGCACTCAGGCAGAATTGCTGAAATTATGTTACTTATATTATAGGATGGTAATACATTATTGTCTTGGATGGTTACTATCCATTACCTGCTGCCATTCATTCCAGACAGACACAAGATAATACCTGGTTGCTGGGTTACTGAGAAGACGTTGGCCTGTGTTGCTTGTATGTTTCCAAGAGTAGACGACTCTTCACTAGTTGTACTTCCCTGTGTTAAGGTAAGTAAGGAGCTGAGGGACGACTCACTTCTGCCCTGCGACTCACTGAAGAGTGGGATCATTGAAGCATGACGAGCACGCCACGCTGTGCTCACTTTCATCTCCTGTCAGAGAAAATTTATCCAAAGTGAAGAAAAAAGTAATAATTACAACAAAATTTGGTTTTATTACAAAGCAGGTTTTATTTAACAAATTTTCACAAGCATTTTATATGAAATAAGATAACTCAAAATCACTTATAACCAAATTTAACTAATACATACCAAACTTGCTCAAACAAATATTAGTGACCAAAAATAAAAGACTAAACAAAATACAGTGGACCCCCGCTTAACGATCACCTCCAAATGCAACCAATTATGTAAGTGTATTTATGTAAGTGTGTTTGTACGTGTATGTTTGGGGGTCTGAAATGGACTAATCTACTTCACAATATTCCTTATGGGAAAAAATTCGGTCAGTACTGGCACCTGAACATACTACTGGAATGAAAAAAGTTCGTTAACCGGGGGTCCACTGTATAACTTTATAACTAAAACATTTCTAGGTAGTAGGTTGGTAGACAGCAACCGCCCAGGGAGATACTACCGTCCTGCCAAGTGAGTGTAAAACGAAAGCCTGTAATTGTTTTACATGATGGTAGGATTGCTGGTGTCCTTTTTTCCGTCTCATGAACATGCAAGATTTCAGGTACGTCTTGTTACTTCTACTTACACTTAGGTCACACTACACATACAAGCATATATATATACACATCCCTCTGGGTTTTCTTCTATTTTCTTTCTAGTTCTTATTCTTGTTTATTTCCTCTTATCTCCATGGGGAAGTGGAACAGAATTCTTCCTCCGTAAGCCATGCGTGTTGTAAGAGAGGACTAAAATGCCAGGAGCAAGGGGCTAGTAACCTCTTCTCCTGTATATATTACTAAATGTAAAAGGAGAAACTTTCGTTTTTCCTTTTGGGCCACCCCGCCTCGGTGGGATACAGCCAGTGTGTTGAAAGAAAGAAGAACTAAAACATTTACTTCTAAAAATTCAAAACTAACCCAGAAATTACAGAAAAATCCTTAGATGATAATTTAGTTTGTCCTGGATTATTATCTTATTCATCAGAGTACAAAACAAATTCTGGCCACAAAATAGAGCGAAACACCAACGTCAAAGACCTGGGAGTGATTATGTCGGAGGATCTCACCTTCAAGGACCATAACATTGTATCAATCGCATCTGCTAGAAAAATGACAGGATGGATAATGAGAACCTTCAAAACTAGGGAGGCCAAGCCCATGATGACACTCTTCAGGTCACTTGTTCTATCTAGGCTGGAATATTGCTGCACTCTAACAGCACCTTTCAAGGCAGGTGAAATTGCCGACCTAGAAAATGTACAGAGAACTTTCACGGCGTGCATAACGGAGATAAAACACCTCAATTACTGGGAGCGCTTGAGGTTTCTAAACCTGTATTCCCTGGAACGCAGGAGGGAGAGATACATGATTATATACACCTGGAAAATCCTAGAGGGACTAGTACCGAACTTGCACACGAAAATCACTCACTACGAAAGCAAAAGACTTGGCAGACGATGCACCATCCCCCAATGAAAAGCAGGGGTGTCACTAGCACGTTAAGAGACCATACAATAAGTGTCAGGGGCCCGAGACTGTTCAACTGCCTCCCAGCACACATAAGGGGGATTACCAACAGACCCCTGGCAGTCTTCAAGCTGGCACTGGACAAGCACCTAAAGTCAGTTCCTGATCAGCCGGGCTGTGGCTCGTACGTTGGTTTGCGTGCAGCCAGCAGCAACAGCCTGGTTGATCAGGTGCTGATCCACCAGGAGGCCTGGTCACAGACCGGGCCGCGGGGGCGTTGACCCCCGAAACTCTCTCCAGGTAAACTCCAGGTAAAGTGACATATCAGGAATTACAAGTATAGTACAGTGAAACCTTCACCTAGACCTAGTTCGTAACTCAATTTACTCATATATCAAATAAATTTTCCTCATTTAAATTAACCATCTGATTGTTGCAAGCCCATTTCTGAAACTGTCATTCTATGTCAAAAAAAAAAAAAAAAAAAAAAAAAAAAAATTCTTACCAAAATGTTAGGATTATTTTGCTGAGTGTTTAAAGCCTAAACAAAATTTAGTGATCATTAATTACCGAGATATAGAGGCAGAAATTTGGCAGAAAATGAGCTGCGTATAGCAACAGCAACGAATGTCACTCACCCGATAAACTTTTTTTTACTCCCATTCGAAGGTTTCTTGCTTTTTCCACTACTTTATTTTTTCAGGTAACTTATGTGGCCTGTGAGTCCAAAGTAAGGTGCAATGTACACATATACACTCGTATACAACACAATAAATGCATAAACATAATTATCAATATACTGTTTACACAAATACAAAACATTTTTTATTACTATTGTTCTATAACATGTATACAAATGTACAGTCACCGGACATGTTCCTAGAAGTTCTGCAGCTTGTGGAACTCTTTGAAACATGGTTTTATACACAATGGTGTTTCACTCTCCTCACACGTAAAACAAGTGTCTTCGCATTTTTGTGGCCGTTTTTCTTGTATTTACACAGACAAAACACCTCGTCTGAGCAGTTTTCTTCAAAGTAGTTAGGTAGTTATCCTAGGTAAATGGTTCTGTGTCATCATTCCTACCTACCTTTCTTTTTTTAATTTCTTTCCTTCCTTCTGGTTTCTATAATACGTATATATACAGGTACCATCCGACTTACGACCAAGCTTGGTTCCAACCAACCGGTCGTAAGTCAAAATGGACGTAAGCCAAACCTTACTACTGAATATCAACATCATATTTTTGTAATGACTCTATTTTATTGTTTTATTTTGGTATTTCATTTCTTACTTCAATTTTTATACTGCCAGTACTGTATTTTATACTGTAAGGTTTACGATAAACACTGTACAACACAAACAGTTGTTCATTTCCTAGAAATTTGGCATACAAAACAGTCGTAAGTCGAGTGGTTGTACGTCGAGCAGGTCATAAGTCGGATGGTAGGTGCACACATACATGGTCAATGGAAAGTTTCATAGAACTGCTATTATCTTCAGGAACTTTGTGGTTGGTGTGTGTGTGGGGGGGGGGGACTTCTAAATGTGCTGAGTCAGGGTCTGGGAGCTGTCAAAATGACATATATAATTGCTCACTCCCCCTATCACCTGTCAACACAATGGGGTCCGTTGCTTGCTTCCCCACCATCCTTCCTAGCTAATTATCTTTCTTTCTTTCTTTCTTTCTTCTTTCTCCTTCTTTCTCCTTTTTCTTTCTCCTTTCTCTTTCTTTCTTTCTTCTGGTATCCTGAGCATTGCTTTCGGTCACGAACTCCTCAAAAACCATGAAATTCAACTTCACTGACACTTCCATCTGTGTTTGAGCAATCACTTTGAAAGAGAAGAGTCCCAGATTCACTGGGGAGTCACATATTTCTTACCGCTAGGCATGCTGAACAAGGACTACTGAAATGGCATTCCCACAATGCACCACTGGCTCCCCGATTTTTTTTTATAGTGCGCAAACTGACCATTGAGACCCATTCTCTCACATATGGGCCTACCAGCTATCTCCCCCTTGATCTGAAGCCACTAGAATTTACTCGTATTAATACGTTGGAAACACTGACTCTTAACCCATTCAGGGTTTCAGCCGTACTAGTACGGCTTACGCACCAGGGTTTTTGACGTACTAGTACGCCTAAATTCTAGTGCCCTCAAATCTAATGAGAGAAAGCTGGTAGACCTACATATGAAAGAATGGGTCTATGTGATCAGTGTGCATGGTATGAAAAAATCCTGCAGCACACAGTGCTTAATGAGAAAAAAAAAAAAACTTTGACCGTGTTTTTGGATTAAAACAGCGACTTTGCACTGTATTTTCGTATGGTATTTATTGTTGTATTCTAGTTTTCCTGGTCTCATTTTATAGAATGGAAGACATATGGCAGAAATTGAGATGATTTCGACTGGTTTTACAATGAAAAGTACCTTGAAATTGAGCTCATAGCAGAAATGTTCGATTTTTACCAAAGTTCAAAAGTAAACAAATCATGTTATGCGTCCAATACACGTCAACTGGAGAGTCTAATATTCTTTCACAAGTGCGCTGATATTATTTATACCATTCCTACACTAATGCAGTAGTCTGCATAACAGTAAATCTTCTATTTTTTTGTGAGAATAAAAATTCAAAGTGGAAAGCAAAAGAATGTAAGAGGGGTGTGGGGACGTGACTAATGAACAGAGGAAATGTTATTTTAGTGCCAGAAATGTCTTTCTTGTTTATTCTGGACCCTAATCGGAAATTGGCATCTTTTGAAATTTGTGTGAAATTGGCAAAATTGCTAAATTCTGACCACTGTATTGGATAGTTGAAATCAGTAAATGGGTGGTTTGTTGAACTCATTCGATAGAAAAAATGGAGTTCTAGTGAAATAGTTATGATTTTTGTCGACTAGTACAACGGAATTGGCAGAAAATAGGGCTTAAAGTGGGCATAATCGCTGATGTGTAAACATCGTCGAGACTGCTAACTTCGCGAGAGTATAATTCCGTACGTTTTCCATCAAATTTCATACTTTTAGTGTCATTATGATCAGGAAAAGATTCTCTATCTTTTCAGCAGAAAAAAATAATTTTTTTTTTTTAAATTTGGGCGACCCTGAGAACAAGTCTCTGAGAGGGCCTGTCGACCCTGAAAGGATTAAGACATATACAGTAGGCCTTTATTTTACACGGTAGTTACGTTCCTGAAAACACCGTGTTAGGTAACACCGTGTCAGATGAACTGAAGAACTTATGGGAAAAATAGGGTTACGTTCCCAAGAGACCCAAAAGATCCAGACAACTTTTTAAGGCCTCCACATCTTATAAAAATAAAAGTGAATAAGTAATTGTACCTCATTGTTGTGATGCATTATGTTTTTATTGCTTATGATTACAAATGTAAGAAAAATAACAGTATTTCTTACCTTAAATTGTGGGTGCTGGTGTTCGTGGATGATTGTGAAGAGTGTGGAGCATTATGCTGTGATGGTTGTACTGGAGAGTCTAACTTTAAGTCAT